CGACGGTGCGCAGCAGCTCGGGTTTGAGCAGCCACAGAGCCCCGGGGATGGTTCCAGACCCCCCAAAGCCCCCCTGGGATGGTCCCAGAGCCCCCCAGGAGGGTTCCAAAGCCCCGTGACGGGCTCCAGCTGCTGCAGCGTGGCCAGCACGAACACGGCCGTGCAGCCCCCTCCCCAATCCCCCTGCCCAGCCCCCGGGACCCCCGTACCTGCCCCGTGACGGGCTCCAGCTGCTGCAGCGTGGCCAGCACGAACACGGCCGTGCAGCCCCCTCCCCAATCCCCCTGCCCAGCCCCCGGGACCCCCGTACCTGCCCCGTGACGGGCTCCAGCTGCTGCAGCGTGGCCAGCACGAACACGGCCGTGCAGCCCCCTCCCCAATCCCCCTGCCCAGCCCCCGGGACCCCCGTACCTGCCCCGTGACGGGCTCCAGCTGCTGCAGCGTGGCCAGCACGAACACGGCCGTGCAGCCCCCTCCCCAATCCCCCTGCCCAGCCCCCGGGACCCCCGTACCTGCCCCGTGACGGGCTCCAGCTGCTGCAGCGTGGCCAGCACGAACACGGCCGTGCAGCCCCCTCCCCAATCCCCCTGCCCAGCCCCCGGGACCCCCGTACCTGCCCCGTGACGGGCTCCAGCTGCTGCAGCGTGGCCAGCACGAACACGGCCGTGCAGCCCCCTCCCCAATCCCCCTGCCCAGCCCCCGGGACCCCCGTACCTGCCCCGTGACGGGCTCCAGCTGCTGCAGCGTGGCCAGCACGAACACGGCCGTGCAGCCCCCTCCCCAATCCCCCTGCCCAGCCCCCGGGACCCCCGTACCTGCCCCGTGACGGGCTCCAGCTGCTGCAGCGTGGCCAGCACGAACACGGCCGTGCAGCCCCCTCCCCAATCCCCCTGCCCAGCCCCCGGGACCCCCGTACCTGCCCCGTGACGGGCTCCAGCTGCTGCAGCGTGGCCAGCACGAACACGGCCGTGCAGCCCCCTCCCCAATCCCCCTGCCCAGCCCCCGGGACCCCCGTACCTGCCCCGTGACGGGCTCCAGCTGCTGCAGCGTGGCCAGCACGAACACGGCCGTCTTGCCCATGCCAGACTTGGCCTGGCACAGCACGTCCATGCCCAGGATGGCCTGGGGGATGCACTCGTGCTGGACTGGGGGGAGAGCAGCGCGTCAGAGCGGGGCACGGAGACCCCCGAGACCCCCGGGAGGGGCACTGAGACCCCCGAGACCCCCGGGAGGAGCATGGAGACCCCTGAGACCCCCGGGAGGGGCGCTGAGACCCACAGAGACCCCGGGGAGGGGCACTGAGACCCCTGAGACCCCTGGGAGGGGCACTGAGACCCCCTGAGGGGCACTGAGAGCCCCCCGAGACCCCTGGGAGGGGCACTGAGACCCCCTGAGACCCCCGGGAGGGGCATGGAGACCCCCGGAAGGGGCACTGAGAGCCCCCAGAGACCCCTGGGAGGGGCATGGAGACCCCCAGGAGGAGCACTGAGACCCCCGGGAGGAGCACTGAGACTCCCAGAGACCCCCAGGAGGGTCCCAGAGCCCACCTTCAGAGGGGGGCTCGAAGCCGCAGTCCACGACGGCGCGCAGCAGCTCGGGTTTGAGCAGCCACAGAGCCCCGGGGATGGACCCAGACCCCCCAAAGCCCCCCTGGGATGGTCCCAGACCCCCCCAAAGCCCCCCAGGAGGGTCCCAGAGCCCCCCAAGCCCACCTTCGGAGGGGTGCTCGAAGCCGCAGTCCACGATGGCGCGCAGCAGCTCGGGTTTGAGCAGCCGCAGAGCCCCGGGGATGGTTCCAGATCCCCCCAAAGCCCCCCAGGAGGGTTCCAAAGCCCCCCAGACCCCCCCAAATTCCACCTTCAGAGGGGTGCTCGAAGCCGCAGTCCACGATGGCGCGCAGCAGCTCGGGTTTGAGCAGGAAGTCGCGGAAGCCGGAGCTGTGGATGGACACGTAGGAGCCCTTCACGTCCTTCTTGGGCGCCGCCTCGGCGCCGTCCGGCCCCGCCGCGTTCTCCACCTCGTCATCCTCGTAGTCCAGCAGCTCGTTGTCCACGTCGTTCTCCGCCATGCTGGCCACCGCACCTCCTCCCTGGGGACAGCAACGGGCTACTGACATCAGCCTGGGGCTACTGACCCTCCATGGGGCTACTGACCCTCTGTGGGGCCACTGACACCAGCCTGGGGCTACTGACATCAGCCTGGGGCTACGGACATCAGCCTGGGGCTACTGACCCTCCATGGGGCTACTGATCCTCCATGGGGCTACTAACATCAGCCTGGGGCTACTGACATTGCCATGCTGGCCACGGCACCTCCTCCCTGGGGACAGGGGGCTACTGATTACGGCCTGGGGGCTACTGACCCTCCATGGGGCTACGGACATCAGCCCGAGGCTACTGCCATCACCTTGGGGCTACCAACATCAGTCTGGGGCTACTGACCCTCCATGGGGCTACTGACATTGTCATGCTGGCCATGGCAGCCACGGCACCTCCTCCCTGCGGGCAACCGACGTCAGCCTGGGGCTACCGACATGGCTCCTGGGGCTACTGATCCTCCATGGGGCTACTGACACCGGCCTGGGGCTACTGACATTGCCATGCTGGCCACAGCAGCCACGGCAGCTCCCCCCTGGGGACAGGGGGCTACTGACACCGGCCTGGGGCCACTGACAGGGGCCTGGGGCTACTGACCCTCCATGGGGCTACTGATTATGGCCTGGGGCTACTGACCCTCCATGGGGCTACTGACATCAGCCTGGGGCTACTGACCCTCCATGGGGCTTACTGACTCAGCCTGGGGCTACTGACACCAGCCTGGGGCTACTGACCCTCCATGGGGCTACTGACACCAGCCTGGGGCTACTGACCCTCCATGGGGCTACTGACACCGGCCTGGGGCTACTGACACTGCCATGCTGGCCACAGCACCTCCTCCCTGCGGGCAACCGAGTTCAGCCTGGGGCTACCGACATGGCTCCTGGGGCTACTGATCCTCTATGGGGCTAGTGACATCAGCCTGAGGCTACTGACATCGCCTTGAGCTACTGATTACAGCCTGGGGCTACCAACATCAGCCTGGGGCTGCAAACATCAGCCTGGGGCTACTGACAGGGGCCTGTGGCTATTGACAACAGCCTGGGGCTACTGACATCGCCATGCTGGCTACGGCAGCCATGGCACCTCCTCCCTGGGGACAGAGGGGCTACTGATATTGGCCTTTGGGCTACCAACATCAGCCTGGGGCTACTGACCCTCCATGGGCTACTGACACTGGCCTGGGGCTACTGACATCAGCCTGGGGCTACTGATTACAGCCTGGGGCTACCAACATCAGCCTGGGGCTGCAAACATCAGCCTGGGGCTACTGACCCTCCATGGGGCTACTGACATCAGCCTGAGGCTACTGACATCACCTTGAGCTACTGACATCAGCCTGGGGCTACTGATTACAGCCTGGGGCTACCAACATCAGCCTGGGGCTACTGACAGGGGCCTGTGGCTACTGACAACAGCCTGGGGCTACTGACATCGCCATGCTGGCTACGGCAGCCATGGCACCTCCTCCCTGGGGACAGAGGGGCTACTGATATTGGCCTTTGGGCTACCAACATCAGCCTGGGGCTACTGACCCTCCAGGGGGCTACCAACATGACCCCCGGGCTACTAACTGCTCCAGGGGCTGGGAGCACCCATGGGGCTACCGAAATGGCTCCTGGGGCTACTGACCACCCACAGTACTGCTGGGCACCCGTGGGGCTACAGACACCAGCCTGGGGCTACCAACATGGCCCCTAGGACTACCAACACCAGCCTAGAGCTACTGGGCTCTCACGGGGCTACTGACGTCGCTTCTAGGGCTACTGAGAGGGACCTGCGACTACTGACATTGGCCTGGGGCTACTGACATCACTCCTGGGCTACCAACATGGCTCCTGGGGCTGCTGGCCACGAGTGGGACCACCGACATCAGCCCCGGGGCCACCGACATCAGCCCTGGGGCTACCGACCCCCGCGGGACCCCCAATCCCCCCAAAACCCCCCGGGACCACCGACACCGCCCCCGGGGCTACCGACCCCCCCCCGGGACCACCGACCCCGCCCCCGCAGGGCCCGGACGCACGAGGGGCCCCGGGACCCCCAAACCCCCCCGGGAGCGGGCCCGGGGCCGGCACCGAGCGCCCCCCGAGCCCCGGGACCCCCAAAAGGGTCTGGGGGCTCCGCACCGAGCGGCCCCCGAGCCCCGGGACCCCCAAAAGGGTCTGGGGGCTCCGCACCGAGCGCCCCCCGAGCCCCG